CAGGAGGTGGCATACATTATTTCTTTCCATATTTCATTGTCCATTATTCAGTCATAAGCCTCACCTAACTATAAGGAAGGCTGGAAATATATTCTAGTTAACATGCATGAAGGGAAAAAATAGTTTAGTAAATAACTAGCCAGTGTTTGCCACTTTTGGTGGCAAGGACTTCTATTTCCAAACTGCTTCCTCATTTGCTTTCTCCCTGATAATTCTTTTATTTAGAGTCAGCCTTCCATTCTACAGTCAGAGCTTAGAACTGAAAATATTCTCTAGAAGAAAGGAAAAATATAGTCATATATTCACCTTGAAGTTACAAAAGTCAGATTCTTTTATAGGAGCAGCTATATTCTAGCATTACCCAGAATAGTGTCTGGAATATATGTGCTCAATAAATGTTTGATGAATATATGAATATATTAACAAACCACCCACTTTCATTGTAGATCCTCTTGTTCTGAGGCTCTTGAGGTTCTGGTATGTGAAGAAAGGAAGAGAAATGGTAGAATAACATAACAAGTTGGAGAGAGGGCTAAAATTATTTTCAGTTTCTAGAGAAGTAGAGAAGATTTCTAGAGAAAGACTCATAAGGTGACTGGGTTCATAAGCTAGCATTGTGGCAGGGAGGGGGTATTCTCAGAGAGTGGCTCTAGGTTGGACCAACTTGTGTGGTAGGGTGGTTGGTGTACATAAAAAGGATTATCTAGACCAAGAGGAAGAATGAGGAACTCATATAGGTGTCCTTGGGTCACCTAATATGTCACATAAATGAACCCATCATTGGCACTGCTCAAGAGCTTATCTCAAGTTGCACTAGTTGTGCAATCAGAAGCTTTATCAGTCTGCACTAGATTTAAAAAGAGGATCCTTTCCTTACATGCCCACTGACCCCTTTGAAAACTGGGTACACTTGACCTCTGTGAAAGTTGAAACCAAATTAGAGGGAGAAGAAAATCCATGGAAAGAAAGGGGAAGGAAGCTAGTGAATTTGATTAGATATTTACTTTAGTTATTTTAAATTTCTAAATTTTAGAAATTATTGTATTGAACTAAGTCCCCTGGGCTTGGATAGACTACATTTTTGGTTTTGGGAAGGCCAAAGATAAATATGTGTAGGTAAAAAAAAGTTTCACGTTTCAAACATCTACTGTGTGATTGTCCAGTCATATCTGCTGCATAACTATTTGTTGAAATAAATAACTGAATATGTTTTTGAAAGGATAAAAGCTTCTCAAATTCTATCTTCAAGGTAGATAGAAGAAGAATCCTGGTTTTGGGGCAGTGCCAACAAAACAAGGTAGCTACTCTTCTAGGCCCTACCTTTCTTTTTTGTGACTCACTTTCTAGCAATTACCTTTGGCTACTGATGCCTGCCCTAATCACCACTCTGCACCAGCTGTGAAAGATATCCAGATGCTAAAGATAACATTTCACCTTCCTTTTTCCAGTGCTTTGTGCCCTCACCCATCTTGGAATTGTCTGGGCGAGAAGAAACCTCTAAAACTGCACACACAGTAACTGTTTCATCATCATTCCAGCAATGGCTTTAGGGAGGATCCTTTAATCATTTGTAGCATAGACAAGTAATGTCATCAATGCAATAGCCTTGTAGCCCAAAGTACAAAGAACCTAACCAGTCCCAAAGAAATTTAAAATTCTAGACTGCCTTCTCTACCTTCCTTCCTCCCTCCAGATGCTGTGTCTTTTCTCTCTAGGTTTTCATATAGCACTGTCATACTCCAGCAATTAGTAATTATAAAATAATAGAAACAATCATTAGTAACTTATAATTATCTTCTCTTCTAAAGTATAAGATCCCTTAGCATGAGTCGTCTTGCCAACAGATTATAATTCATCTTGATAACAGGTTTGATAGAGTTACATGAGACATGAATCTGGCTTGTTAATATTATTATTGTTTTTAAACTATTGGTAATAACAGTGCATCCTAAGTATTAATTAATCTTTATGACTTCTCTGTGAAGTAGGTTAAATTAAACTAAATTCATTCTATCAGGAGAGGGATTGGCAAACTGGTGATCGCTTCAATGAATCTCTCTTCATTACTAATAGATCAGAGAATAGAAACAGAAATAGCTAAATCTGATTCATTTTCCATGACAGCAGATAGAGATGACTTTTGTGTGCTATTAATGCCCCCTCAACCCCTAACATATCCATAAGAAAATAATAAATGATTTATATCAATTAGCAAAAAATGCTAGTTCTGAAACATTTTTATCTACTTTCTTACAAAATGCTCAAACTAAGTAAATCGGCATCAGTGGTCATTATAGCATGCATTGTACTTTCCTCTTTTCCCTTTCTCTGCCCTCAAAGTCTCATTGTTTCTTAGGGCTTCACTATTTAATCATCACTGGTTAGATTTACTTACTATCTTTCTTCTGAGGAGCTTGAGGTGTTGTAGGAAAAAAAAAAAAAAAAGATTCCACAGGACTTAAATTTAATGCTTCCATTACAGCTCTGCTCCTTACAGCTGGAAATAGTGTAGCTCCATGACAAGGATGTGGGTTCAAATCCAAGGGCTGTTGCCACTGGTTTGCTATGCAACTTTGCAAAAGCTATTTTATTTTCTTGTTTCTAAATGAGAGTCATCTTACTCAATTCATAAGTTATGGGAATAACCAAAGATAATGGATGTAGACTACCTGGCACATTAAAAATGATCACTAATGGAGTACATTATTTATCATATAAATCAGTAACTTGGCCTCAAAGCCCTAAAAAAAGGAATGAAGGAGCCTTAATAGGAAGATGTAATATTAGGTATGTGTATTTAGATATTTTGCTTAATATGGTAGTCATTGTTAAGTGGCTATTAATTTAGTACAAGAAAATCTCTCTCAATTCATAATAACACTTGGCACATAGAAGATATTAAAAAGCATTTTTTAATGAATGAATAAAAGCAAGTGACTTCCAAAGACAAAAAGAGGAAAAAAGAATAATACCAGTGTTGTGTCCTCTATGTACACTTGGCTATCCACACCTCATTTGGATATTAGTAATTCAAGAACATTAGGAAAGAGAGAGGTTTGAGGCGTAAAATAGTTGGAGGAAGGAAAGTAGAAATAGCAGGCACTGGGAGTTAAAAAACTCATCCTGAGGAAAATGCTATAATCAGCTAGTTTGCTAATGAATGTTATAGGGAAAGGCGGTATTTTACCACAGGTTATTCCTTCATTTTTTTAAAAAAATCTTAGAGTTTCTAGGTTTTACTCCTCCTCTTAAAATGTAGAAACAAGATGGCACAAGGAATATTGTACGAGGCCCATAGGGCCAGCCTTACTTAAAACCTTATAATAACTTTTCATTTTAACTCCTTAGATTAAAACAACATACCCCCTAAAAGTGAAACGATAAACAAATACACCAGAAATGGCTCCATATTTGTTTTAATGGAAATAAAGTATCAGCTAATAACTTGAAGAAATTGAATCTTACCTGTGTAAATATATTCCACATATGCAGGATGAGTTTTTGTGAAAACCTCCTTTACTTTTTCGACTTTATCAGCTCTGATTTTTGTTGCAAATGGTGTGTACATAACTGAGAAAGAGTCTGCTCTGGTGATGGCTTCTTCAATCATGGCCTGAGAGGAAGCACACAACCCATTTGGCATCAATAATGACATGTGACTTTTTAAGAATGTAAAATAATATAATTACCTTTATGGATGATTTAAAAATCTATATACTGTACTGCAAAGATAACATATTTTGGTCTTGAATATTCATTAGAATGAAATTTTAATTAGTTCTGGAAATACTATTTCATATTAAGAAAACTAATTGAATGAAGAAAGTTTGTAAACAGACACCTCTAAACTGAGCTTGTTTTAAGATAAAAATAAAAATTCTACTTTCTATGGTATCATTTTTGACTTGATTTTAAAAATCAAATTCTTAAGTCTAAGATAATTATCTTACTCACAAACAGATGTTGATGAGTAATTTATACTTTAAAAAACTAATTGAAATATCTAGATCTAAATATTTTCTATAAATAACATGACAAACTAGACAATCTTGAATTTTTTTTTCTTCCAATATCTGGGAAAGCCTTTTGGAACAAGAAAAGCCTTTCTCAACTTCCGACCAGCAAAGCTTCCCTTTTCTCTAGATTGCAAGAGCTGTTTGAGATGAATTTGGCTATTTAAAAACTTCTTTAAATTTTCTTTGCTCATATACCCATCTTGATAAAGCCTGCCATTACCCCGAACTTCCTGTTTTAAGTAGGTCCATTAATATTTGAAACAGACCAAAAAGAAAGTTATGTGAAGTTTTAAAAGGAATTTATTTCTTTCCTACAACTTTTCCTTCTAAGGAGGCTTGGACATTGAATTAAAAGTAGAAATGTCTACAGTTATCTTATTTTTTCTGAAAATAGCATAAAAGTATATTATAAAAAAATCTATATTTATTTATAGGAATAATTTTTTTCTCTGACAACTAACAGTGCCAACACCAATAAGGAAAAATAATAGATCTGAGCTTTCCAACAAAGAGAACGCCATTTTATATTATTACAGCATGGTATTTTGTAAACAAGTTTCTGATTGCTATTAAAAACAAAAAGGAGTTGATTTTAAACTGAGAAGCCTAATTTAACTTGTTTATTGCCTATTCCATGTAACAGTAATATCAAATGGCCTCTGTGATCAACTATATTGTATATAAAAGAGCAGCTTTGCAAAAATTTTCTGGGTGTAAAGGAGCCTCCTTTCTTTGAGACTTTTACATAATTAGAAAATTTACATAATTTTCTAATTTACACTTTAAATCCATTGTGGGGCAAGTATCTGAATGGCTGAATGAAAGAACTTCCATTGCCCACCACACAGTCCTTTCCAGTTTTGAGGAACTGCAAGAGAAACAAAGAATACGAAAGCCAACACTCAGACAGAGGTAGTGGTGGATTTTGAGTGTGCAGCAGAGTTTGGATGCTAAGGCCTAGATGCCTACTTTGGAAGTCTAACAGAGGTAATACAAGCTGCAGGTTTGGAATTCAGAGATACGGATTAAACATAAACAAAGACTCTTGAGATTAAACATGGTGTAGTGAGAGATGTCCCCAGATCTCTACCCTTGAAACAACAATAAGCTGAACATCTAAAACTGAACAAAAAACACTTAAACTGCACACTAGCACATCTGAGCATGGGATATGGGCATAAGAGCTACCACAGGTCAGAACCCCAGGTGTTGAGCGGTGGACTAGGAGAAACAAAGAAGCTGCCTCTTGCAGCCAGAGCTCCCTATAGGAGGAGGGGGAGGGATGAAGGTGAGGTGACTTCCCTGGGAGTGCTATGGGCTCCATGCAGCTGGTGGCAGTGCCCAGTCATAAGGGCAGAAGGCAGAGAAACGGGGACAGCAAAAAAGCAGGGATGGCAAAGAAAAAACAGTTGATATTTTTACCAGCCACAGTTGTAAAACAGAGGTTGATTACAGCCCTATCCACCAATCCAGAGAGCTCCTTTCCCCATACCCTCCAAGACTGATCACCGCAGAGCCCCTGGGGAATCTGAGCAAACACTACCGAAACTGTTGCTAACACTGACAGGAACTGAGACTGAGGATAGCGAGCATGATTAACTATCTATAAGGGAAAAAAAAGGGCATTATTAAGACTTTATATAAAGCAGAGATCCAAGAGGCTTAGATGCCACCTACTGGAAACCAAAAGAAAAACACCTTCTTTGCAATGGCTAGGGACCATTATATCATAAGTCTTCTTTCTGGAAAAAAAAAAAAAAAAAGCAGAACATACTTCCATTAATACCCAGGAGGAGAAATAGTCCATTAAACACCACGAACAACCAAGGTGACAAGGCATCTCAGAAAGAAAGAGAAAAATCTCCAGAAAATAAGCTTACAGACATAGAAATATGTGTCTTAAATGACAGAGAATTCAGGATGGTACTTCTGAAAAAACTCAGTGAGATCTGAAATGAATCATATCAACAATTTCAGGAACTGGAAAAACAACTAGATGAGCAGAATGAGTTCTTTAGCAAGGAGATTGAAACCCTCAAAAGGAACCAAATAGGACTCCTGGAGATGAAGAACACACCGCAAGAGTTGAAAAATGAAATAGCAAGCTTGGGAAATAGAGTCGACCAAATGGAAGAAAGAATCAGTGATATCGAAGACAGAAATCTGGAAATAACTCAGAAGTAAGAAGAGAGAAGCCGAAGAATGAAACATAATGAAAGAGAAATACAAGAACTAGCTGATACCATCAGGAGAGGAAACATAAGAATAATGGGCATTATAAAAGACAAACAAAAGGAACAGTGATTAGAAAGCATTTTCAGACAGATAGTGAATGAGAATTTCCCAAATCTAAGAAATGAGCTGGAGCTTGGAATTCAAGAAGTCAATAGAACACCCAATTATCTCAACCTGAAAAGGCCTTCAACCAAGACACATTGTATTGAAATTATCAAAAATCAACAACAAAGACAGAATTCTCAGGGCAGTCAGGGAAAAGAAGATGGTAACCTATAAACAACACCCATTAGATTATTGTTTTGGACTTCTCAGCACAAACCTTACAAGCCAGAAAAGAGTGGAATCAAATATTTAAATTATTAAATGACAGGAACTACCAGCCAAGAATAATCTATCTAACTAAGCTCTCCTTTAGATATGGAGAAATAAACACTTTTCCAGACATACAAAAATTGAGGCAATTCTCCACTACAAGGCCTGCACTACAAGAAATACTGAAAGGGGTCAGCTCACCTAAAACAAAATGACAACAACAAACATGATTAGGAGTAAAGTGACTAGCAGGCTGATAAAAGCGGAGGAGTGCAACCCTTACTAGGTGAGGAAGAGATTTGCTATAGCAAGATAGTAATGAATATTCAGCATACATAGGGACAAATTGAGAAAACAATGACTAAAAAGGGGAAGATTCAAAGATCCAAATTTGCAAAGGGCAATGGAGATCAGGCATGCATAGAAGAAAATGGATGACTTTATCTATATAACTATCCTTTACATATTCCTAATGGTAACCACACGCCAAAGATTCAGAACCAAAGTATATAACATAAAACAAGAAGGACCAGAAAGAAAACACACAAAAGCCAACAAAATAAAGAAAATAGAAACATAAGGACAAGGAAGCAATGGAAACACTGAGCTACCAGAAAGCAAAAGATAAAATGGCTTTGAGAAGATCTCATATTTCAATAATCACCCTAAATGTAAATGGACTGACTCACCAATAAAAAGGCACAGAGTTGCAGATTGGATCAAAAAATAAAACCCAATTATATGCTGCCTCCAGGAGACACATCTCAGCCTCAAAGACAAATATAGACTCAAAATGAAAGGGTGGAAAATTATATTTCAGCAAATGGCATTCAGAGAAAAGAAAAGTGGGAGTAGCGGTACTAATATCAGACAAAATAGACTTCAAAATAAAAAAGATAAAGATACTAAAGGACAGTTCATGATGATAAAGGGATTCATGCACCAAGAAAACATAACACTAATTAATATCTATTCTCCCAATCAGGGAGCCCTGAAATATATAAAGCAATTACTAACAGAACTAAAGGGAGAAACAGGCCAAACCACTCTAATAGTAGGGGACCTAAATACCCCACTGTCAGCTATGGACAGATCATCCAAACAGAAAATCCATAGGAAATAACATTCTTAAATGATACATCAGACCAACTGGACAGAGTTGACATTTACAGAGCCTTTCATCCCAAAACAGCTGCTTATACATTCTTCTGTAGTGGCATAGAGCATTCTCAAGGATTGGTCACATACTGGGACACAGAGATAGCCTCAACAAATATAAGAGAGTTGAAATCATACTAACCATATTCTCTGATCATTATGCTTTGAAGGTGGAAATCAACTGTAAAAAGAAAGCAAGAAGAACCACAAATACATGGAAATTAAACAGCATTCTACTGAAGAATAACTGGGTCAGAGAAGAAATAGAAAGAGAGATCAGGAAATACATAGAAACGAATTATTATGATAGTACAACATATCAAACCTTTAAGATATAGCAAAGTGGTGATAAGAGAAAAATTCATATCATTACAGGTCTATCTCAAAAAACAAGAACAGGCCCAAATAAGCAACCTAACATATCATTTTAAAAAACTAGAAAAGGAAGAACAAATGAAGCCTAAAATCAGCAGAAGAAAAGAAATATTCAAAATTAGAGCAGAATTAAATGAAATTGAAACAAAAACAAAATAGTATTGTACCAGCATAAAAAAAAAAAAACAGACC